AAAAGTAAATCAGAAGAGAATTTATAGTAAATAAGCAGGCAAATTTGCCTGCAAAACCCTACGATTTAAGGGATAATGTAAACCATCTTTAAAATATTAGTAAGTATTACATAAGTTAGTTTTTAGATTCATAATTTGAATTTCTGATATCAATTAATGTTACAATTTTTTGAATGCATCATATTTTAAGGATTTTAATTTGTTATCTTCTTCTAAATCAGCCAAAAAGTCTTTATGTACTGACTTATAACTCATTTCAACTGGTAAAAATACAATTGATTGGATTATTTTATTGATATTTCTTTTTAGACTTGATAATCCATGAACTTTAACATAATTTTCCAGAAAATTCTTTACCACTTCTGCAACAGTTTTATTAATCACTATTTTTGTTTTTCATTGAGACATTATTTTAATATTACTATGAATTATTGGTAGAAATCCATTCTTTATCAGGTGATTTCTAATATTTTCAAAATAAGTTCTGCCATTTTCCAACATATTAAGGTAAGTTTCTTGACAAAAAAATGTATTGTGATCCTAATGATAGAAAGTTCTTTTATTAGATTTGATTTTCTTTTTAAGATGTCTACTAATGCTTGTTAATTTACCATCTATTGCCTTAAGTTAAGCCATCAAAAATATATCTTGTTTAGACTTGAAAAAAGCTTAAAAGGATTTCTTTAATTCTGCAAATTCTTTCCTTAGACATTCTGAAAGAGCAACCACATTTACAACCTTTTTCTAAAAAATCAATTGCTTTTTCATATTCATTAGAACCATTATAATTATCATTTTCATTATTACTTTTCATATACATTTATCCCTATATATATAATTTTATGTTCACTTTGTAGTTTTTTATAATTCTTTTAAAATTGAAAGGAAGTATATGAATCATAGTTGTTTGTCATAATTGTTTTGCATTTGGCATATGTTATGACAACATTATGGCATTTCCATATTCTCTATATTAATTGCCATAAAAAAAACTACCCAGAATTACGCCATTTGACTTAAAGAGTTCAAATAATTACAGAGATAATTTTGGCAACTATGAAGATTAATTATCATAGGTATGGCGATGATCATTTATTAAGAGAGGCAATTATAGCAAACAACTATGATATGAATGGAATTAAACTTAGGTGAATCAATGGTATAGTTTTAGGTAAATGATTTAAAAGATATGATTGTGATGTTACTTGTGAAGAGAAATTGAAAATTTGTTCAATTGGTCCAGTGTTTGAAATTGAATATCCGGGTTCGTATTACATAAAAAATGCGCACATTTGGTTTGATAACCAATAAAAAATTTTTATTATTATTGAAAATTCACAACAGGATGCAATTTATTCCATTTTAAAGTATTTTGTTTATGAGTCAACAACTCACTTAACATCAATTTTGAGCTGTCATATTTATCAGAGAAACTCGAGTTTTTTTCTGTGGGGATGCATGCATCAACAATAGAATCATCTGTGTGCTGAGTGCCACCACGTTTAAAAAAATTTTTTAATTTCAATGAAGACTCTGTGTTGTTGTAGATTTATGACACGGCTCTGGCCAAATGTATAAGAGTGTATCAGTTACAAATTACCATAAGCAATATCATAATCACATGAATAAGATTTTTTACCTTAAATGAAATCATTATTCGTATAATATTAAATAAATTCTTTAATTGTATAGGTGTATTAGAAACCACAAACCCATAAAATTGGTCAACAATATAAACCATTAACCCAATGCATAGAATAAAGAAAAACATCTCTCTCTGTGTAAATAAATGTATAGCAAACCACTACAAACATAATATTTAATAAATTATATTACTCACTGTACACAAGAATTCCATACGTTTCTAATTTTTCTAGATTTGAATCATTTTCTGGAAACAACTTCCGAATATTGAAGAGAGCCAGTTGCATAGCTGGCAGTTAAATTCTATCGTTAGTGGTTTTCACAATGATAGAAATCAAGTTTTCATTTCACCTTACCTTTAAGGATCTTTGCACGATCTCCCCTCATCTTTACATCATCATGATAATAAGCATTCCCACCAACTTCCCCAAAAGCTACCTGAATTTCTGTGTGGTTAACATTCATTAATAAAACTGCATCATGAAACCAGCTACCAGAATTCGTTTTACGTTTGTCTAAACATCTTTTCAATTCCAACTGGTTCTTTCGATCAGTATTTTCAATCTCGCCTCTGATTGGAGACAAATGTAAATGAAATGAGATATATAGATTTTTCAGCTAAACAAAAGTAAGTCACTTTTACATGTTCATCCGAATCATTCCATTTAAGTCCAAAAAATTCCCTCCCAAAGTCTGTTTATAATTCGACTGCGGTATGCATGTTCTGATGCATTGGCATCTGTTAAAGGGCTTACGAGTATCTGGAAACACATCAAGCTTATCAATTATAGGTATGTCATTAAGATGTTGTTAGTTAATAAATATTGAACAATAATAAATTATAGTTAGAGGTATTCTTACAAAGTTGTGTATACTTGTTGAATCCACCTCAGCATCCAATCTCTTGCAAATAAGTATGGAGGATTATTTTCAAATGGTGTTTGACTGATAATGGACTCAACTTTATTCAAGTCAATATAATATCCAATGACATTTTGTGAAATAGCATTATCATATCTCTCCAAAAGTAATTGTAGATTACGTTCAAATACTGGAAGCAAACACTCAATTTTTTCTTCTATCTAGAATATATTATTCATTTCAATATAAAAATAGAAATTAAAAGAAATTAAAACCAACTGCAAATAAATTAAGACGTCACCTTTCTCCAGTTTGATTCCATTACTATCCATTCCTGATCAGTGAACAGGCACTTAATTGGATTATACAGATGTTCTTCAGGCAAGAATATAATTTTATACCTTGCAATTCCATTTTTAATGCTAAGAAGTCTCTCAATGGCCAAGTTTTTCAAAATCTGTGACACCAGAAAAAAAAGATTTATTAGATGTCAAATAGAAATAAAGTGTAAGACAAGATACTAGACCTCAACTGATATAATTTCCTCAGGATATTCTTCGTACTCATCATCGTTATCTTCTTTTACATCTTTGTTTTCGATTTCCAATGTACTTCTATAGAAATAGATTTCAATTTAAAAAGCAATCTAGAACAAAAAAAAAGAGAATAAAACATCATCAGGCTTACTCAGATGTGTTTAGATCGATATTAGATTCTATGTTCCTGTTAATTGAACCAGAATCAACTAAGATAAACCAAGAAATGTCAGAGAATGTCAACAACTCAGTGCCTTTAAGAAAGCTGATAGCAATAATGACAAAAATATGCTTACAAAATTCATCATTTTGTTGCATTGCAGCAACATCAACTGATGTCAACTTCACATCTTGCTTCTCTTGTTCTATACCCTTATCTGATACAATTTTTTTCCCTTTAAAGTCAAAAGTAGTGAGTTCATTTCCAATGTACTTATGGAGTCCTATTACTATAGCCGTATGTTCTTGCAGATTTTCTGACTGAATCAGATATATGGGTTAGTAACTTTCAAAGATATAAATAGCAATATTAATTAATAAAAAAAAGCACCTTCATCTCAGCAAGTCGTACAGTTTCTTGACTATTTATTTGTGTCAGTTGAAGGGTTTCCTCATTTTTTGTTTGCTTTAAAGTCTTCAAATCGTTAAAATAATTGTTTCTATTTTTAGTCAACTTCCAAGACTACAAAATTTCACAGAAAATCAAACTTTAAAATTACCCTTTATATATGGGAGATTATTACTTTACACATGAGATCCCGTAGCGAACTAATAGTTCAACATCCAGACGACTAATAGTCCCGTAATGTGCCACAGAAGATTAAAGACATTCCTGAACTACAGTGAACTAATAGTTCAACACCCAGACGACTAATAGTCCCGTAATGTGCCATAGTCCAACACCAAATGAAAACTAATACTTGCCTCTAGTTTCATATACATTTGATCAGCCTTCAGCTTGGCATCCTTTGAAATGGAACCACTACTTACGTCCTGAATGCTTTTTTCATATAATCCAAGATTCTTTTCTTATCACATGAAACGTTGAAGACACACCATTCAGCTAGATTATCAAGAGACCAACTTTCAAGAGGAATTTCATCAAAATATTCGGTCATAAATGAATTATTATTATTATGTTATTTTATTGTTATTTTATTACTATTACTATATTAATATACGCGTCGAGAAATTCCTTGTCACGCTGAATATGGTGACTTGTGACTTGATCTAAATCTAAAAATAAATGATCTGCAAAGAAATGTAGAATAGAACAAAGTTTTCTAATATATGGGAGGTTTGCTAGGAAAATGGGGCTCTGAGTAATTTTTATTGCATTTTAATGTTTGATAATGTTAGATTAAAATGCAATAAAAATTAAAATTTTAATAAAAAATGCT